GAGAGAGAGATTGGACAGAGACATAGCGAGCAGAGAGTCAGAAGAGAGATAGAAGAGGGAGAGAAGAGGGAGAGAACGAGAGTAAGAAGAGAGAGAGAGAGAGAGGGAGGGAGAGAGCACGCGCAAAAACGAACAACACAAAAACAAAACACCCCGAAAAAAGTTATCAAATGGAGGCGGGAGATGTCCAAACGTACGGCGGTATATTGTCTGCATGTGATGGGAGACCGCTACTAGAATAGAATACCGCTGCCGGGTGTCGTTTCATGATTCATGACGAAAAAAAAAACATCGATCGGGTCGTGGCTTTGAGGGGGTTGGCGCTAAATGCACCCCCGCGAGTCAACTACTTCGACGCCCACACGAACACACGCTCCAAGCGGTCCATGGACACACTCCAACAATAACGGTAGGAGCACCTCGCTAGCAAAAAACGAAAAAATGTTCTCCCGTGCCATTTGCAGATTTAACAGCACGGAATTACACGAAATTACACAAAAAGGTAAGAAAATGGTGAGACCACGCTCGTGTGTCCGCACATACTCCGAAATGTATCCACACATATACTACCCAAATACCCGGTACATACGCGTACCACATTGAAAATACGTTTGAAAACTGAGGGAGATTGCATGCCCTACGACTAAAAGGGTGCCAAACACAAAACGCCCGACCAGTACCTAACACATATCATCTGCACCTTCCCAACATAACATATATGAGACACACAAGACAGCTACCAAACTGTCTTGTTGAGTCTGTTACCCGCAGGGGAGATGTCCCTATATGCTGTCTGGGAAATCGTAGACATACAGGTACTTTCTGACGCTATGAATCCATTGCTAATCTGTCTCAGACTCTTTTCTATGATAGAGTTGGTTTCGTTGTGTCATATTAAGAAAAAAAAAAAAAAACATGTGAACAGCGGCAGCCTGACGACAGCTACACCGCTCGCGAAGAGGGACGACAATAAAAATGGCGAGACTTGGGGGTGGGGTGTGGATACCAACCACGTGGACCGTGGTTTAGCGATGCCCAAAGCGTGGGTCGCTACAACTACAGATCTTGAAACTCGCCTGCTTTCCCTCTCGCCCCAGGGGGGTGTTGAGCCTTCGGAGGTGCGACAGGGCCGACGCGTAGGTGAGTCGGTTGAGCACCTGGCTCACCCCGGCCTTGGTGGCCGTCTTCTTGTCGCCCCAGTTGCCCGTAGCCAGGGAGTACTTGAGCCCGTCCGTGATGAACTGTTATCGGCGTCATTGTTGCGGTGTGATCATTTTCAGTTCGGGATAATTAAAATCGTTTCGTCTCCTCGATAAAAACGGAACACACGAGGGAGTGAGAAATGGGGAAAAGTAAAGAAGGAAAACTGGGCAAAAACAGGAGGAGTGCGACTCGAGAACAAAAGCCGCACGTACGCACTAAGACGAAACAAGCACAAACTATCGTGGCTGGGAGAAAAAAGTCGCGCGCCCTCGGACGCAACGTACGAAGGAAGCACACGCGTGAGGTATGTGTAGCAGCCTAACCTGGCTCTTGATGGCCGTGCCCACGACGAACTGCGTGCCCTTGTCCAGGCAGAGTTGCAGGTACTTGCGCACGTTCTGCGTGAGCTTTCTGAACAGCTGCCGGAACAGGCCGGCGAGCAGCGCTCCCGCCAGGTCCAGCCTCTTCTTGCCTGCAGCAACACCCACCGAGAAGAACGAACCACCCCCACCAAGAACGGTCCGGGGAACGGTCCGGGGAAAGGGGGGGGGGTCAGGAACCGAGCGTGTTCAGAAGACAGCCCCGGGGTCGACAGGAAAGCACCAGCACAGCAGCGGCAGTAACAAATCTTACCCGTCCAGTAGTGCGAGGTAAAAGGCATGCTTTGGTTGGTTGCCCTCAAACCTCGGTGTGAACGTGCGCGTGATGCCGCAAGGCAAGGCAAGGCGTTCAGGCACCACACCACCCTACACCACACCACGAGATGATCTCCCCTCTGCCTGGAGGGTTAGCCTTTGTCCCACACCCTACAGCTGGTTCTTCGCTTACCTGTGTGCCTGCCTGTCTCTCTCTCTCTCCTCTGAACCCCCCCCCGACCCCCCACCCCACATTCTCTCTCGTCACTCTATTCATTGCATATCTCTGTGGACAGTGCAGTGGTGTCTCTCATGCAATGCTTACCGTAATGATCTCGGTCGTCCTCCTCTAACCGACCGAGGCTGCACATGAGCAGCTTGTGCACCATGTACCCCAGGAAGAACACCTGCAACAGCAGCGAGCAATGCCACCCCACCGTTGCACATCACAACCAAAAAACCAAAAAACCAAAGGACCAAAGGACCGCAGGCGCTTGCGAGTGAGCGCTTGCAGCCTACAACGCTTTGTGGCTGTGAGTCAAGGAAGGTAGGGCTGCCAAATAGTGCAGCTACAGCTACAGCTACAGAAGCCGCCAATCTGGCGCAAGCGGGACGTCCGTGCGATGCACGGTACCAGCGGCGGCAACAACAACACTGAGCACAACAAGCGCAACAACGACAACAGCGCCACCAATAGCGATACCACAAGCAATTTCGTCCCACACCACCACCACCAACAACAACAACAACAACAACACATGAAAAACGTGGCGCGGTGGTGTGCTGTGCAGTACCTTGCCGATACCCAAGAGTCAAAAACCACTTTCTTATAGCGGGCGGGGGGTGCCAATGTGTCTGTCTCCGATTCTTTAGAGCAGGCCGGGGTGTCTGGTGTCTGCCTGTCTTGTCTGTTTCCCACCTTCTTTGCCTCCGTACCGGCCCCGATGCCGACGTGAGGCAAAAACTCCCTCTGGAGGAGCCCCTTGGCGTAGTTGATCCGCTCGTTACGCCCGACCTTGAAAAAAAAACAAGCAAAAAACAACGAATGAAGCACCAAAGGCCGACAGAAACAACACCAAGGGTAAAAAAAAAATTTGACGCTTCATCCGTGGGTCAAACAACCACGATCGGCCCTTCAACGACAGACACACAGACAGCAGGCAGGACGTTTGGTCGCTATCGCTATGCACTACTGCTGCTCCTGTCGGTGTCATCACAACTACACCTTCGACTGCGCTGGGTGCAAACGGATGGCACGTTCATCATATTCTCTTCTTTGGTTATTGCCCCCCTCCGAACCGTCAAGGTGCGAAGGTGCCAAGGTGAGAACTTTCCCCCGACAAGGGCGGGGGGCTGGTGTGCCAGTAGCAACCGGGGGGGGTCGGCAAATAAATGCGTTCGTCTACAACAACACAAGCCAGACGGCTGCTTCCGCCGACGTGGCGCGCAAAGAGTGTGGTACTCCGTGGCTACTGCTGCTGCTACCGCTGCTGTCCTGTGCTGCTCTCTCTTGTGGCCGCGAGATCGTTCTCCTTCAAATACTTTCTCCTCTCACCAAATGGTGGCGTCAGTCACGACCATGTACTGTGCAGGGCCTGCGTGGGAGTCTGTGCAAGTGAAACCACCATCACCATCATCATAATCAACAACAACAACAACAACAACAACAACAACAACAACAACAACAACAACACAAACAACATCATTTGTTGTTTCTCATGTATCATACAACATGTCTGGTGCCTTACGTTGACGGCGCTACCACGTTTCCCGATGAAGTCCTGCGCCACGACCTGGTTCTGGATCACGTCCGCCTCCTCCAGAGATGGCCTGGCAACACATACACGACGGGAAAAGGTATGCGAGATTCAAATCACGACAAAAAAAAGCGAAGTACTGTAGCAAATACTAAAATTGGCCTGGGAACACACACGCATGTGTCGGGAAAAGGTACGCGAAAATCAAAATCATGAAAAATACGAAGGAAGCGGTACACACCAAAACATCAAGTGCAACCACACGCAAACCCGTGGGACACTAGATGCTCTCTCTCTGTCCCGGTGTACCAAGACACGTACCGTCCCATGATTGTTGACGGGTCTGTCCGGCTCACATGATCCAAGGCGACTCAATGACACACACCAAAACAGAACAAAAAACAAAAAAGAGTGAAAGCAGACTGGCGCCCACGGGACGATAAAAACAAAAACAAAAATGGGTCACCTGAACTTTTCCATCATGTCCGTGTCGGAGAAGTCGTAGACGATGTGCTCCAAGATAGCCTTGTCGTTCGTGTAACCGAGCGCTCGGAACACCAGCACCACCGGCACGTCCGTCCTGATGTACGGCAGCTGCGCACGGATGTGCCCCCCGTTCACCTTGCTGTGCTGAGTCCCCTGTTCAAATTGCACATAAAAAAAAAAAAACAGGGTTTCAGAATTCGGCGAGGGAGGGGAGGATCGGAGCGCGTGCAGGGGGGTCGAACCACAGACGAGAAGCATGCGCAGGGCAAATACCACGAACACTATGTTAACGTCTCTTCATTGGTCAGCCAGTTAGCGCGGTCGATGCCAATAAAGCACGCACACTTTCGGGGGAGTAAATCCGTGGTCAAGCACAACCGTTCCAAAAACACACGAAACGCCCCAAGGGTAACAAAAGAAAACTGCACCGCAGTTTCACAACACCTCTGTTCACAACACGCCTGCCCACAAACACGGACGCACCTTGGCATACATCTGCAGGAACATGGAGGACGGAGGCCTGCCACTGTTGTCGACGAAGCTCCTGATCTCCGAGGTCCAAGTAAACTTGCTCGGCTGCCGCTTCTTGAAGCAGTACACGTGGTTCGTGCTCATGCGCTCGTTCGCGATCAGCACCTGGAGATCCACCCCGCGGGGAAAGGTCGGGGGGGGGGTGAGGGCGACAGTTTACGTGTAACGTTTGTACACGAAAAAGGAGGTTAGCTTCAGAATATCTGTGGGTGGGTGGGCTGCTGTGTCGCATGGTACAGAAGAGCGGACCCCATTCCCTCTCCCTATGCTCACCGGAACCACCCGGTACAACGATCAGGAAGCTAGATATCAACGGTCCTGCAAACAACACCAGTCCATTGGTCCCGTTTGACTCCAGAAGAACATTGTGGCACCGGTGTGTTATAAGCGGCCACAACGTGGTTGCGGCATGAAGCTACTTTTATCGTGTGCACGGGCTACATGCGCGGATCGATGTTAGATACGCACATACTAGTCGTGCCGATCTTAGCTCTATGGGTGTTGGGGGATGCTGGGATTTCGCGTCCCGCGGAACCCTCTCTTCTTTCTCAGCCAATCAAGTGTCAAGACGTGGGTCGGCACTAGGCACCTTTTCGGACCCGTTGATGACAAAGTAGCCGCCCTGGTCGTAGATGCACTCCCCCAGCTCGGTCAGCTCCTTGTCCGTCCGGTTCACCTTTTTCGAGTTCGAGGTTTTGGGGAGGGAAGGGATTTCGAGAAGAGGTATTCTTGAATAATTTGTAGAGAGGCGTTTTTGAGCGAGCGTACGGAGAAAAAGGGCTGTCGCTATGCTCCAACGCTGCAGGTCCATCTACTGCGAACGAGCTATATCACTGCTGTCACCAAGATAACAAACGCATGAGAGAGAAAATTCGGAAGGGCGGGGGGGGGGGGGGGG